CCTCCCTCGCAGCCCGGTTCTGCCCCACTAGAGCCGCCTGTGTGACTCTTCCTGCGGTTTGAGCCTCTGTGTCCATCCCATGAGGAGCCAGGGGAGAGCCCACGGGGTTGGCCCCGTGGCAGCTCAGCCTTCATGAGACCCCTCTCCCCCTGGCCCTCCTGTGCAGGCAGAGCAGGCCCAGGGCCTGGCTCCAAAACCCGCAGGTGAGGGCTGGGTGCATCCTCTGGGGAAACAGGGCAGAGTCCAAGGGCCTCGTGGCTGTGCCCCGGGTCAGGCTCACCCCTGTTGGAGGCATTTCGGGAGCTGGCAGGAGCCCTGCTGCTCCCTGGAGCACTGGCAAAGGGCCCCGTCCCACTTTGCTCTCCTTCCAGGTTTTGCAGCTGACGGTGCTGCTTTTGTGTAATTTGCAAAAAAATTTATTGTGTTCCTCATGCTCAGAGTATCTGCCCCAGCTTGGGCTTAAACTTGTCACCTGGAGGGGTCTGTGCCCCAGAGATTAATGGAAGAAAAGGCTGAAAAATGGCTTTAATGTTTAATCACATAACATCCAACAAATGCTTGCGTGGCACAGGTTAGCCTTCCTTAAATTTGCTTACAGAAACGTGCTGCCTACGGAGTCCTTCCATCCCAAAATCCCCAACTATGGCAGAGTCCATAAGCCACAGTGAGAGCATTTCAGTTTTCCATAAAGAATCAGAGGCTAAAATCAACACGATCCTAAATGCTGTGAGACATGATTAGCCAGGACCGTCTGCAAACGAGCCCAGAGAAACCATCTGCACCTTTCCCAGCAAGGGCCGAGGTACCTCCTGCTGCTGCTGGTCCTGCTCCCGTGTGATGCAGCGAGGCATTCACCGTCGGCGGGAGCTCGTCATGACGTGGTATTGTTCTCTGCCACCTTTGCCAGGACATGAAGACCTTTTGTCACCATGCTGCTAATACATAACACCCCGGGATGGCGTTCAAGTCTGGTATAAATAGACGTACCTTTGCTACGTAGCGATGTGCTATTAGCACTTTGCTGATGGTGCTTGTACAACTCTGCCCGTGCCCCATTAAGGGGTTTAGAAAGTTATGTGATACCTGGGGATTTCTAGAGAACCTGAAGGTCTGCGGAGTGTTTTACTTGAGGTTAGCTATATTTTATGAAGTGTAAGGAAGACACCACTGAATGTAAGAAAAACGGGTTACGAGGTTACTGATGGACAGGCGGGAGGCCAGGCAGGAAGCGTTGTCATAAAATATTAGGATCTGCTGTTCTGGGGCATGGCATTATCCGCTGCCTCACGGCTGGCACATTGACGTGGCAGCAGTATCTCTGAAGCTTGGGGACCAGCTGCCTGTGTAAGTCTGTGCACTTTATGTCCCAGCGTCTAAGAATAACATCAGCGGGAGATGGCTCCATGACAGGCATCTGATCCCTCAGGATCCTGATCTCCCAGGACCTCCATAAGAAGAGAAAAGAAAAAGAAAAGTGATCCAGACTGTTTCTGCCAACCCAAGCGCGGACTTTCCATGGCTGCCTCCCTACGTTACATGCATGTCCTCGCAGACAGTCTCTATCATGGAGGACTTGTGGGTGCTCTCTGCCTCTGGGCTTTCCTCAGAGGCCTTCAGCTGCCTCCTGAACCGAGAAAAGACCATCCTCAGGGAGGAATATAGCTCCTTGCTCCGCAGGGCATAAATAATGGGGTTCACCATGGAATTGAGCAGGCATAGGGTGCTACAGAAGGCAAACGCCTTGCGCAGGTGATTGCTCAGCCTGGCAAAGATGCTGTAGATCATGAGAATGAGGACCGGAGACCAGCACATCATGAGGACAGTCAGCACCATGATGAGGGTCTTGGCCAGCATGACATCCATCCTCATCCTGGTGTTTTGCTTTCCCACTTGGTGCTTTTCCATGTAGGCCACGTGCTGGTGAGCCCTCCACAGCACGTGCGCATAGGCGTAGATGATACACCCCAGCAGGACCATGATGAAGCAGATCCAGCTTGACAGATAGTTCTCGTCCACAAACGGGAACAGCTCGGAGCAGGTCGAATCAAGTGTGCAGCAGTTCCAGCCCAGGAGAGGCAGGGAAGCAATGGTCGCACATGTCACCCAGAGCACCCCCAGGGCTATCCACGTTCTCTTCCTTGTCATGAGGAGCTTGTATTCAGAAGGCCGGCTGATGGAGATGTAACGGTCCAGGGCTGTCAGCAGCAAGCTGCTCAGGGAGGCAGAGAAGGATGTGTTCACCCCTCCCAGCTGCAGCAGGAACATTTCTTTAGAGAAATCAGTTTCATTAAAGACATGGAAGTTAACAAAACTGCAGACGAAGATGATGCTGGCCAGGATGTCAGCCAAGGCCAGGCTGCTGATAAAGAGGTAGGAAGGCTTTCTCCTGGTCCCGGGGGAGGAGAAGATCAAGTACAGCACCAAAGAGTTCTCGAAAATACACAGTGTCCCAAAGAGGCCGCACAGCGTGGCAATGCTTATCTTCTGTGCTTGCGTGCTGAGGACCATGAAGCACTCCATAGTGTTCACACTGCATTTGGAGGCATTTTCATGTATCTTACAAATATCCATTGTAATTAACTGGAGCTAGGAGCTTGCAGAGAGCCTTTCTGCTTCCTTCTGCACTTCTTCAGATGCTCTGAAAAAGACCGAGGTGAAGAGGACTTACAGGAGCACAATGAGCACTAAATTCAACCCACTCAGACAAATCCCTCCCTTTAGAGGGAGGCAAACAAAAGGAAAATAGCCCAAGGAGACCTACTTTCAGGTCCACAGCCCAAATCTGGAGACAACTTCCACCCTTTCTCAGCAGAGATCCAGGCTTTGTCCCACCGGTGATTTGGCTGAGACGCGTCTATCACAGCTCATGGGTACCACGTCCGTACCACGTCCATAGTCCGTACCACGTCCGTTTCTCGCGCTGTTTCCTCACCACAAGAGGGAAGCAGCAACGCTGAGAATTGTACAAATCATGGGCCAGCTCTTACCAATCCTTCAGGATTCACTGCTCAGGCCAGCAACGGTGGAAGGGACTGCTCATGGTGACACTGTGCCGTGGCTGGACACAGACCCTGGAGAACAGCCTGTCCGAGTGAAGCTGCCCCGGGAGATGGCTGGGGTGGAGAAGGACAAGGGATATTGCACTGCCAGGGACTCGGTGCAGCTCATCTGGGAACGCAAAGTGCACTTTGAAGAATTTACTCTTCACCAAAGCTGTTTAAACACATAAAATGACAAGACGGGTTTTATATTTAAGCTTGCCCATTGCAGTTTTATAAAGCTCAGCCTCATTAAAGTTGTGTTTCTCCTCCCATAATCCCTGCGTCATGAGTCAGTCTGTCCCATGTGTGAGTGATTAAAAGTTATGTTTAACATCAGTATTAGTGTGCAGGTTGGACATAAAAATGGGAATATGCAGGAGTTAGACCACCTGAACCTAAGAACCCCTGTCCATGCCAAGGATTATGTTAATTTTATCAATATTTTTAGCTTCAGCAGAGATGTGATAGAGGCAAATGCCTTATTTTCCCCTAGGCAGATGTTGAGCTGCTCGGTGCACTGCAGGGGTGCTGGCAGGGGAAGTGCTGCCGGCGGGTAAATCCCTTCATTTTTATTACACTGATGAGCTCGTCCTTCGTTATTTTTCTCCCATTCTTGCTTTTGATTATACTTGTGCTTTAAACCAAATGCACTTTCATTGAGGGCTCAGCTGCCCTGTGTTGCCTCATGTAACAGGGGCAACAAGGTCATCCTGGACCGGGTTATAGAGAGCAGATGAAGAGGCGGTTATCGGATACACTAAAGCTGCCTTATTAGCAGAGAGATGCTGTGCCCCGAGTGCCATGCACCGGCAGGTCGTACCGCCCTGCTGCAAAAGCCCATGGGATAGGACCCCCCTTCCCGAAAACATCTACCTGGCTTTGAGTATCCAGGATCCCACATCCAGGCAATGGGACCATGAGTTCCTGCTGCAGGAGGAAAGCACTGAGCTGACAGCATTCCCTTTCCCCCAGAACAAACAAGGCACTGTCTCTCCCTCCCCTCAGCTCTCTTTCGAAAGAGGAAATGTGCAAAATGCGTGAGCCACAGCAGTCGGGACGTGTGACAGCTACTGCTACCGGGGAGCGGAGAAAGCGCCCAGGTGGTGCAGGGGCCGGGCTGCTGGGCTGCTGGGCTCCAGGCAACCGTGGCCGACCATTTGCAGGTTCTCTGTCTGTTTTTTGAAATTCAGCCAAGGCAACAGCTGTCTTTAGAGGCGACAATAGCCAGCAGTGACCAACATGCTAGAAACCTCTAACTGCCAACATCTTAGCAGTGACACTTACTTTATACCTGTCTTCGTTACTTCCTTCCCTGCTGATTCCCCCATCCCCTGGCACCCATCACTGTTTCTGTGTTTTGCAGTAGTTGCAAAATACCCCAGAGCACTGGAGATGCTGCCCAGGAGCTCTTGGAGAAGAGCCTGAGCGCCAGCACTTTGCTCCTGCCTGCCTGTCAGGGCTTGAACATCGGCAGTTGCAGGGTGTTCCGTGCACATTACAGCCAGAGCAGTTCAACCCTGATTTGCATTTCTTGGCATATCAGACTGGAGGAGTCCTGGACTTTGGGCTGAAATGTGGCTCAGCATTGCAGCAAGCCTCTCTCCTCTTACATCAGGCTCTGGCATGGGGCAATCACGCAGCACCGGAGATGTTGCACTGTAATCACAGCACTCTTGTTTCCTGCAGCTCTTCACAGAAACGCTACAAGGGCAGCAGTAATTACTAACTGCTGTTATTAAACCTGACATTTCTCCCTCCAGAGAGAGACGGATTTGGTGGACAGATGGACTTTGACATATCTCAGGGCTCACCAGGAGCCATTGGAGCAGCAAATACCTCCCCGAGTATCCAAAACTCCTCAGCCAAAACTCCAGCATCCAAACCAAGACATCTCTTAATTAAGCAGACTCCAGCATCACCTTGGCATCTACTAATTGCAGCCAGCATTCCCAGGACCATCTTAAATTCTCAGTATCTGCAGTTGTGCAATGTCCAACGAACATACTTAGGAGCTTGGAAACTGTACTGAAGACTAGGCAAGAGACTGAAGGCCAGCAAAATCCTCTCTCTCATGTTACATTGCTTGGGGTGAGAATTTGGTTATAATGGCAAAATAACTCCTGCATTGACTGTTCTGGTCCAGCTCTCTCCATTAAGCTGACGTAATTCAAATAAGCCCTCAGGTTCAAAATACTGTGCTGGGCTCTGTAGCAATCAGCCAGCCAGCCCAGACCTTCTCTTCCCACATCTGTTGTGTCTGTGACAATGACAAGGATGAATCTCTTTGCAGTTTTGGTTGAGCTCCCCCAAATCCTCCTTCCAGCTCCCATGTCTGTGAGGGAAAGCACGGGGCTTTGCTCCAGCACAAGATCTCTTCTGCAGAGGCTCCAGAGCACAAAAACATGGGCAGTGCCAAGAGCCCCTCTCCTTGCACTGCCTGTCCCTTTTTTTTTTTGGCCATAAGTCTGCTTTTTCCTGCCCAGGGGACATTTTTCTCTTGTCAGATGGGCTTCCGGATTCAACCATTTGTTTGTTCATGCCCACTGCCTCCTGCATGCTTCAGCCCCTATCTGGATCCTGGGGGAGAGATGATCTGCAGCATCCTCCATGGGGCAAGTCCCACTTCCAGGGTGGAAATCCCCTTCCGAGGGGCAGCATCTCCACCTCCCTGGGAGTTACAGCCCCGGGCACGGCTGTGCATCCGCACCACAACCAGCCCAACAAGCCCAGAGTCCCTGCCCGCCGGGCTGACGTTTCAGCTCAGCAAGAAAGAGTGAAGAGGCTTCTCGCCCTCCTTTAGAGCCAGGAGGCTGCGGCACAGAGGGACTGGGTCCCTGGAAGCCGCAGGAGCCAAGTGGAGATTTCCTGGGCTTCTGCACAGGATTAGTTCTTCTCCCAGCACAGCAAAGTGTCTCCTGCCAGCAGGATCTCCCAGGGTGGGGGATATTCTGCCAAAATAAAGTGATGGAAACCCCTTCTCTTGCAATGGAGAAACCCCCAGACAGTGCCAATAACAATAGCAGAGCCCCAGGAAGCATCAAATGGAAGCAACGCACTGAATGAGCAAGAAGCCCAGCTATTAGGAACAAAATGCAGATAAGACATTTGTGAATGCAATATATTTCTGATACAGCCTCATTGACTGCAAAGTCTGCCGAGAAGCAGCAAAGAAACCTTCCCCCCGTTAGATCTGCTTGCGAGCCCACTCACTCCAGCCTAATAACTCCGCTGGCTTTGGTGGAAATTAAATTTACAAGTGAAAAAGTCCTTTTCCGTTTCAGTGCATTGCTGCAATTGATTTAAGCTGTCAGACTTACACTGCATTGCATGCAGCAGCACGGTTTCAGATATCACTTGGGATGGTTTCTTCATTTACAGAGACATCTCAGAATCCTTGTGATTAATAAGTTAACATACCAGTTGCTTAGATAATGTAAAATGAAATTTTCTTGCTGCAATCAGCCAGTGCAATGTGCCTGCAGCACTTTGAAACTGCTGGCCTTGAATATTTCAAAACCACAATTTCTGAGAGATTTGATCTTTACAATAAAATAAAATGTCTTAGGTGATTACCTAATATGAACACATGAAGTGATTTATGCAAAAATTGTCATTAATGCTTGGACATTTCACATGCTGAAAAAGCAAAATATCTTTTGCTTTACAAATATTTTAGTTTGTATACGATTTCTTGTTTTAGTTGCAGAAGTTTTGCCATTATTTTTGAAATAGCTGTTCATCCCGGTTTGTCCCTCCGACCATACTAAATAATGCTGAGCGGAGTTACCTCCCTGATATAAGAATTGTCTGGCACAAATGCCACGCTGAAGGTTATATGCTTTATTTCTTTTCAGAGTCCAGTTCTGTCCACGTGTGACTGCTCGGGTGACAGCATTTGAAGCACATGGGTGTGTGGGTGCAGAGCAGCACTGCAAATGCCAGTTTGGTTACAAAGCACGGCAAAACAGAGCTTCTCTCACTCCACCAAAACTACCATATGCGGAGTCATAATAAACACTAATTTGTGCGGAAAGCTCAGCCTGAGAGCTCAGTATCCTACCCATGCTTGCGAGGCATTTGGAAATACCTCTGCCATATCCAACGTTAATATTCCCTAAAACCAGCTGTAAAGAGTTAGTCCACAGTCTGCTATTTAAACACTTACCTTTCGTGTTCTCGTTAAGAAAGCATTCATCCTAAAAAACAATTTTCCCACCCTTTGTTACACATTGCATTGCAGTTTATCCTGAATAACACCGGGAATCTCCCCATGACAAACCCTGCGCGGCAGAGTCTCTCTAGTCTGCGTGCGTGCGTGCGTGTCAGCACCGTGGGCTCAAAGGTACGATGTGTTTTACCTCGAGAAAAAGGATCCTTGGCTGCAGGATCTCCCCACAGGTTAGCAAACGCAAACCACTCACCTCCTCTCGCTCGCGTCGCGGTCTGGGGATGCTTGGGGGCTTCCCATCCCTCCAGCTCTCAGGGCAGTTTGTGCAGCTGCGGACGGCGCCTGCTTCCCTCTCCTTTCAC